TCTGCTTGTGATTTCAAGACAATTGTAGCCTTTTCAGTCTCCAACCTTTGCTGCTTCTTCTCCTTTTCTATTTGCTTTTCATTCTAACAAAAATGGGTAAGAATTTTTTTAAACTGACTAATAAGACAGGAAGGTTATTAAAAAATGAAAAAAAAATTTCTGTCCCACATACAGCATGGAATTTATTGTCAAAAAGGTGAAGAAATTAAATTTCAAATATGCTGTACAGAGGGAGGGAGGGGGAATTAAGAAAAAAATGAAATTATGTTTTTGACTGTTTTCTTGCTTTACTTTTGGTCATATTAAAAAAATAAACCAAAATAGGAATATAAACAATATCAAGTCCAGAGGTTAGAAAACTTCTAATTTCTTCCTCTTCGATTACGTTTTACTTTATGTTTATTTAAAACAAAATACAGTTTCACAGAGCTTAAGTATCCTGAAAATACCACCACAATTTGGACAAATATCTATTGCATCATGCAGACTCAATCCCAGGCTGTTTCACAAGTTCTATATCACTAAACCACCATCTCTGCAATATGCACACTCTGTCTTCCTCCTCTGTATGTTATTATTAAGTGTATTATTGTGCATGCAGCTGATTTTACATGCTGTGTGGATGTGGGTGCTTTTGTCCTGGAGAAAAGCAAATGTTTGAGTTACTTCCTGGAAAAGTTTACGTGTTTCTTTAGATTGTGTTATCTCCAGTCAACTGAATAAAAAAATATGGCACAATAAATAAGAACTACCAGAACTGAGAAACACAGGTTAAAGAAACTTAAATATATGAATGTGATTTTCATATTTCAAAACTAAAAAACTTCTCAATAGTGTCAATTTTCAACTGAAAACAGGTCATGCTCAGAAATCTAAACAGTTGTAGAAGTCAGTCAGATTTTATGACTCACTACATTATACAAGAAGCAAACAGACCTTGAATATTTCCACTTCTGAATCCCCACTGGTTTAATTAGGAAATATGTGTGTTTAGATCTATTTTACTATGCCTACACCACTTTTGTCCCCACATCAATAATAGGGGGTTTCTTATCATGAAAACATTGCTTCAATGCACACAAAACAAGACTGCCAAGATTAAATACAAATTAAAAAAATGGTGTGCAGACAGACTTAGACCAATTCTTGGAAATTAACCATTTTTCTCATGACCTCTCAGACACTTGTTAGTGGCAGTTCTAAAATAATCCAGATTTCCACACAATCTCATACCTCAGAGATTACAGCAGATATAGGCTGGAAGGGGTTCTGATATTTCCCAGGCTCAGGGTCTTCCTCATCAGGTACAGCTCCTTCTTCTTTTTCCCTTTGGCATTGTTGGTGGATTTATGTTGTTGTTGTTTCAGTGGTTTTGGCATTTGTGGATTTCAGTTGGTTTTGGGTTTTTTTTGGGGGGGGGCAGAGGGAAGAGGGGGAGAATGAACAAAGAATTCTGGAGAAGCCAAGCCATAAATGTTATAGAGAAAAATTATTAGATCACCCAACTCATGTCCCAATTTATGCCAGCATGGACTTTAAAGGTCCCTTCCAAATGAAACTACTCTATGGTTCTGTGAACTTCCTTTGCCCAGACTCAGAAAAGTTCAGAAAGACACATAATGCTCAGTTTAGCAGCCCTAGTTACGTTTTATGTTCCAGATATTTATATAAGAAATATTACATTGCTATGTATTAAATAACACATCATTGATAAAGTACATTCTCATCAAGTACTTCTCCTGAATCATCTGATGGTAATTGCACATAGAAGTCACTGTTACATCTATTTTGCAGCTGTAAGTGCTGAGAGAGGAAGGAACAAACTCCTTGTTCAGAGGCACAGATGGGAATGAAAAGGAAGCCAGTAATCTGCCCATGAAAACATAATGTTTGGGAGGAACAGACAGTGCTGTTGAAAACTTCACAGCACTACCACTGTCTCTGGTTTTCCATTGGAAACAAGGTTGTTGCTACTAACATATTGTGGAGGAAATGCACTTTCTGAACAAAAAAGAAGCCTGGGGAATTAGTGAAACACAAAATGAAACAGAATTACAACTGAATCAAGATTAACCTATTTCTTACAACAAGAAATCGACTTGATGCAAAACAGCAAATGGAGAGTTCATGTCATCTCTTATATCTGAGACAAGCAAAACCAACAGAAGTTACTACTCAGGTTTCCTTTAAGGCACAAGAACTTTAGCAAAACTTTTAAGCCTTTAATCCAATTCAGACCCAATCAATTTTTCCAGTGAACAAATACAACTAAGGTCACTGAGTGGGGAGAGGAAATGACCATATCATGAGCCAGTTTCTTTGAGACATGTTTCAAAGCTACTCCTCCTCCCCACACTTCCCAGCATGGCATTAACCCAGTGCAATTCATCATGGTCAGAAGGTTTTGCCTGTACAGAGATATCTGGCAGACTAACAGTATATGGGTTTGTAAGTTTGTGAAATGTGCATGAAGACCATGCCAAGTTCCAAGGGTTTAAAACGTGCTTCAGTTACTTGCTGAAGTAAACCAAAACAGCAAGAGTATAGCCAAGGCACTTCACAGGAGCTTCTCACAGGAACTGAGACTCACAAAACTCTGCCTTTATAAGGAGGACGAGGTGCTCAGCAAATATTGTAATAATTCTTCAGTAAAATGATTCACATCAGGTTTTAACAGGAACCACGGTAGGCTGCTGAAGACCAGAAACGGCTTTGAAGGGAAGTAATAAACCACTTGTCCTACTTCCCCTCACTGCACCATCTTTGGTTTCTTCATGCCTCACCTATTGGATATCTTGGAGTTTATTAAGCATAGTCTTGAATACAGTTTCACATCTAGTCTTTGATACTCACATGTTGGTTACAGAGTCTAACTTAACAGAAGTTTAATTTAGAACACACTTGAAGGCAATTTAAGATTAAATGCCAGGATTTACTTCTTGGGTTAGCCTTCTGTGAAGTTATATTAGTAAGGCCAAATTTACTCCACAACCACCACGCAGTTCTCATTCACAGGACATTTCAAGAAGGGAGCAAATAAGATAAAGGGCATGAACCAGACAAAAACTTGTAGGTCCTGCAGAAAAACTCAAGGATTCAGGTCTGTACTTTTAATATGGAGACTTTTGGATTGTAAGTTTTAAATCCTTGACAGCTTGGTTGCACTTACAGAAATGAATCAGTTATCTTAGAGAAAAGAAGAAGAGGAGGAAGCAGAAATTACAGAGACAATACCTTTCTTCTCGTATCCTTCTCACTCGCTCAGCTCGTTCCAGTTTCTTCTGTTCTTCATATGCCTTTTGCTCTGTGGTGTCTCTTTGGATTCGCTCATTTAAGGCATCAAAATCTTTGGCTATGATATGTAGAAGCCAAAATAAACCCTTTTTTATTGATTTGTCAATTTTTTTCCCATAGCCCATGATAGCTGAGCAAGGTTCCTGTAAATGTAAGGGGAAGGAGGGGAAAAGTACTTGCAGTTCAGATCACATTCCTTGACTGAAAACAAGAAATTAGCTAAACAATTACTGTTTACTGCAAAACATGGAGAAGTATGGGAAGTAAATTTGTATTTAGGCATTCCACAAATTCAGAAATATTTACAAATCCTTTTTTTGCCAAGAGAAAAATCACATCTGAACAGTGATCCTTCCCGAAGGAAATTCAGGAAGGAAATTTGCCCACAGACAAATTCCATTTCTGCTTCTTTTTAAAAAAGCTGGAATACTAAATTTTCTGTTCAATTAAACAAGTTTTAAACTACATCAGTAACTTAATTATTCTTACATGGTTTCAGAACAGAGCAGCAATTACATTTTGAGGATCTCTATTGTAAACATTTGTTAGAACATCAAGGTGAGCAGTAGAATTTCTTGCAGAACAGATACATGGACTGTATCTTTTCTGGGAATGCAGGATTTTAGTTTCTACCTTACTGGAAGCTTTACATATCATTCATTCATGGCTGGGCTTCATGAAGGAAGATTTAGGAAGGCTCTATCCACATTTGTTACAGGCACGCTGGTGGCTTATGAGGCCAATATGAGATAGACATATCTGATTGCAAAAGGCACAGCAGAAAGACTCCTTAGGTGGTGTATTCTGCAGAACACGGTTCTTTCTGCGTTGCCTTTTCTCCTTGAGAGTGATCCTGCTGCGTTCTCAAAGGAGACAGCTGCCTTATAGATGGGGTGTCTCCAGGCCCCCCGATTGGAGGATTGAAGCTTTACATATATATAATTAGAAATTAGAAAATGAAGTATGTTACAATATACATACAATTTGACAGAGACATTTGTGTTCGTTGACAAGCCTCTCCAGAGACAAGGACTCGATTACATCTGCTTCTGACAGAGCTCCTTCTCTGTCCTGCTTATTTGCCAGCCTGGAGAAAAGATCAAAAGAAACACTTAGCACCCTGACACAAGAGAGATTCACGAATTTCCAAAAGCTAGGTTTTTGAGAAAAATAGGAAGAAGGGAAAGAGTGAGAAAGGAAAGATAAAATGTCTTATTTCATCTTTAATTCATTATCCTTTCTACTTAAACTTTCTACTTAGTCCATGCACCCTTTTCATCAGATATTAAAACTAAACAATCACTAAGGTGCTTAGTAATTCCTTAATAATTATTCATAGAGAAAGCAATTATATTTACAGCTAAGATGTAAAAGACCATCCTGTTTTGCATCTAAAGTTACACAGTGTAATCTGTTGGAGTCACTGGATGAAAGCTCCAGAACTTTGCAACTTTCCAAACCATAAGCAATTCCTGCTTCATGATCACCTTAGGTCTGCCTTATTATCAAATATTTCTCTCTAATGCCAAACAACTTCATATGTGATGTTTTGAATTTGCTCTTCCTAAGTAAAACTTAAAGCCCAGGGGGAGGAAACATACCTTATTAAATAGCAGGAAGCAAAAAACCCCCATATAGCTTAAAAATACAAAAGTGTCCTGTAAGATGAAGTGCTATCATTCTCTTATTTCTTAGATATATGGCACCAAAGAGGACTCCAGAAGATAGACATCCATTTAGGATTACAAGAATACAACACAATCTTATTTTGCACATTCTGCAACAGTAATAATCCAAGCTAAGTGCAAAAGCTGCAAGAAGGAGTATTCCATAGCATTAGGGAATCTGAAAATTGCACTTGCTTCTCTGTAATAAAAGACTTCCACTAAAATAATGTTGTTCTGAAATTTAGCAACATTTCAATCACATGAGAACTCCGATTCAACCTTCTGGATAAGAAGACAAATATTTGGCTTTCATGAACTCAATGGCAGAAGGTTTTGGAACCAGAAATCAAGTCATCCTCATTAACTCAAATGGCTTTTAGGGAATGTTAGGCCAAAGCTTGTACTTTGGATTTATCATACTCCTTGCTGAGAAGGAACAATGTTAAGAATTCACTCCACAGTTAGGAGAACTTGTCTAAGACCTTATTCTTTCCTATTTTCCAGAATCACAGTATGAGAGTTTCAATTCTTAATTATTTTACTGCCAACAGTTTTTACTTTCAAAGAAACATTAGGGAAAAAGCTGTATTGCATCTACAGCTCAAAAAAACATTCCCTGTCATCATTAACCTCATGATTCATTATCTAATCTTTCATCTTTTCTAGAAGAGTTTGTTTATGAAGGAGACCATAGAAAAGTAGCTTCTCAAATGTCCAGTCTCTCTCAACCTTCATCATTCTTAACTATTTGTGGTCCAAACAGTTCACTTACTTATAATCATGCTGGGAATACAATCCCTACATCCCACTGATAATCAGAACTTTACTGACTTGCCTGCAGAGCTAAAAAGAGCATAAGGTTCTTCTCCCTGCCCCTCCTTTGATAACTTGTTCCCACTTCTCAAAGAGAGAACTTCTTCAGCACTTTGGATGATTCACTGCAGAGATTCCCGGGCAATACATATACAGAGCCTAGGATATTTTCAGTGTTTGTGTCACTGCTTCTTCTCAGCAACCAGCCAGAACATGAAATGTCCTCTCAGTGCTTAGCTATGAAATGGGATAAACCAGTGAAAAAATTAAATTAAATTCAAGAAAGCTACGGAAAGTAATTACAAGATCGGAAAAAATTATCTCCATTTTTTTTCCCCACCACTTAACATCTTTGTTACAGTCTGAAAATCCTACTGTGCTGCCCTCCAGTCTCCAAAAGCATTGCTCAGCAGTGCTGTCAATTCATCCAGATCTAACTGAAGAAAATATTTCTGGGTAGTGCTTGTTGCCACAGCCTATTCCTTTCTCACCTGAAGATTAAATAACTGTACTCTGTGCTGTGTTACTGGACTGCACACTCTACAAAGCACACAGCTGAGGCAGAATGAAATGCTGGTGAGCTGCACAGCTCAGTGTCAGTGTGACACTAAAGTCCTACAGCTTGCAGTAGCTGCTGATTTTTACCCTCTAATAGCTTGAAAGGTGTCATATTTGTCTTTCTGGTCAATTAGTTTCCATCTTCTCTGCAGCAACACTGACTGAGCATTCAAAAAATATGGCTAAGGTGCTACATCTGGAAAAGCAGCATATCCAAATAACTGCCTCCACCTAATGCTCCCCAGGAATCCAAGTGGGTTTGCTCAGGTCATACATTTACTGAGCACCTCAGACTTTAGGTCAAACACATAAATGGAGTTAAAATATTTTTAAGATACTATAGTAAAAGGCATTATTTTGCTGGGTTTTGTTTTCCATCTACTACTAGATCCAGCCAGCCTTGCTTCTTTTTCCCTTCTGGTGTAGAAGAAAGCAAGCCCTGCACTTGTGCTCCACTTCCAGCTCTTAAGGCCTCTCTATCCAAGGAGCTGCTCCCAGGCACTGCCTGTTGCTGGGCAGTTCCAGCAATGGATCCACCCCTCAGCAAGGCTGGGTTTCAAACAGGCAGAACCAGATTCCCCAAGTAGAAAGTAATCAATTTGCCTGTCTACTGCAGTGGCAGAAGTTTCTCTCTCACACTACACCCTCCTGAACACTTGGACAACTATAGAAGAACTAGAAGCAGAAGGAATGAAGAAAACCCTTAATGGAAAAGTCACTCAGGACATGTTACTTTGGGAAATATTCAGAAAAATGTTTCTCAGATTGTACTGAAGCAGGAGTTCTGCTGGAAAGGATAAAAAAGAAAGCCATCAGCATCGGATTCAGAGGTATATACTTTTTTCTTACCTAATATATATAAAGTTGCAAATATCTGGAAAAAAAGCTCTGTATTGGGGATTTAGAATGGAAATGTGCTCAAGTGTCAAGACATACAAACAATGTATGTCGACCCAGCAAAGAATTAGGTATTTCTGTGGGTGAATATAGTCTCAGAGCTCTACTGCTCATGCACAGAACACCAGGTTTCAGGGCAAGTTTTATGCAAAAAAATACCTTCTCCAGGGAATACATCAGAATTATCTTAAAGGACAGATCTTGGTTTTAAATTTCCAAGTCCGTTACTTCCTATATAGCAATTTTTCATGTTTAAAACCCCATAACAGGTATATATCAAAACATACTTGAAAGCACAGGAGCGTGTCTGTTGGTTTATCATGTTAAGTTTGCTGAGTAAGAAGCTTTCATATATAAAATCATGCCTGGCTTGCTTTCAATTTCACCTAAAGTATATTTGGAATTGTGTTGGTGTACCAAACTTACCTCATGCAAGAAATAAAGAAAAAGTAGGCACCTACTGCTTTTATATCAAGTAGGATTTGTCTAAGCAACTTAAGAGAAGCTTTTGAACTTTAAAAGTCACGGGAAACAATGTGGAAAGGGAGTGTATGTGTGCACTGGCACAAGTGACATCTGCAGTTCAGTGACAATATTTCTTTAGAAGCCAGAAGACATGCCAGAGAAAAACAAAGTCTGAATGCAATCTATCCTTGAGCTGTTTATAAAATTACTGAGCAAAGAGGAAAAAATCAAACAAAACAAAAAACAAACCAGTATTAAAGTTTACTTTACAACAGAAAAGATCTGGTGAAAAAAAAAATCATGTATGAAATGGACAGATTTGTATCTTGGCTTTCATCAGAAATCCAAGAAGTGTTAGAGAAAGGGTATGTGTGGGAAGAGGGTTTTATGTGAGAGGGTATGCGTGTGCACGTGTTTGTTTTCCTGTTCTGCAGAGTTGGAGTTTTTTTTAAGTACTGTTACTTTCCAACTGATGCATTTCCCTCCACTTGTGTGGGATTCTTATATAGTAACATAATACTGAACAGTGAATACTGCAGTGGGTACACACTGGGGGGTGATCTGTAAAAATGTCTCAGATGTGCTGTTTTTGGGGTTAAGTTTAATCAGCATCAGTGATCACAGACCCATGGTGGCCATCAAAATGAAGAGCAAAGCATCCCTGAGGTCAAAATATTACAGTGTCAGAGCTATCAACAGGTTAAAAGCAAGTTTAGGAAAATGCATCTTTACAAGAATGATTACTCTGAGATCATTAGTCTTTAAGGCTCCTTGAAGAAGCTGTAGCTTTGTGGGATGGAGTCAGAATTCCTGGGGAAAGAAGGAAGACAGAACCTTTAAATTTAAACAGCAGCCTACACACAGGAAAGAACAGTGCTCTGTTCTTCAGTGTACAGTCAACCTTCTATTTAAAAATGCTGTTCTACCTTTTCTCCCCTCAGAAATTTTATCTCTCATCTATTAACTTTTTTCTTGGACAGCAATCAGAAGGATGTTTTATCCTAGAGAAGGGAGGCCTCAGCAGACACAGCATGAAAAAGTTTATTGGTCTTTTTATGCTTTGCTTATGTTAAACATCCACAAAAGTCAAACTCCTGATCCACAAACATGTCAGTTTGCCAGCTTGTTTTGCTTGTTCTTTCTTCTTCAGTTACTGGCAGTTCATGAGCTTTTTCAGGAAGTCATGGAACACAAAATTCTTTATATTTTTAGCAAACAATCAGATAGGAGAATAGACCAACAGTTTCAGGTCTTCTTGGTTGCTGACAATAATGACAAACCCATCAGTAACCTTTTACTGATTGACACATAGCTCTTCCTCAAATAAACTTACCTCATTCCTCTAGTTTGCTTTTCATGCCTTCAACCCTTATGCAAAACAATCCTTTGGATATTAGGCTAAGCTATAATGAAGAAATGATGAATAAAGTGCTACAAGATTATCTGCCTGCAAACAGCAATTAAGAGTTTGCTTTCATGCAGTTGCAAGGAGCTATGAGACATTTCTCTATTTCAAGCTTAGCCCGAGGCAGTTCCTCCAGGTCACATTTAAATAAGAGAATAATTAAGAATAAGATTCTAAACTCATCCTGTTATAATATCTCTGGGCAACTTCATTCTCATATTACCTTTTGAAATGGTCACAAGGTTGTCAATAATTATAATTTGTTTTATTTTGTTAAATTTTATGTTTTCTTACCATAGGTCTGAACCATATTCATATTTACTGAAAACATATTTCTCTGCTCTGCTCTCAGTTCAATCACACCTGTTGGTCAAATAGGCTACACCCAAAGAGACGTCTGAGCTCACATAAAACATGTTATTTTCAGCTTCCAGATGTGTAATTCCAAAAGAAATAACAATAAGTTATGTTGCCATATATTTCTGGACAAGATTTTTAAAAAAAAATTGTAAACATGAATTGGTTTTTTATACTTTATTTCACCTTGATATATCAATACCTAGACAAACAAAGTACAGTCAAATTGCCTATAAGATATGTTTTTATAAAAAACCTGCCTGAAAATCCTTACATTTATTCCAGGTGAGTTCCAAGGCTGTGATACAAAGCTCTGTGGTCTGACAGAAGTGAAATGGGAATGGAAAGTAGGTGGGATATTGTACAGGACAAATTTTGAATCTACAATTCCACTGTCAGGAAGACAAAAATCTCAAACCATTTAGAGCAATAAAAACCTACTAACTAGGATATACATATAACAATATATCCTATTAAACTTTAAGAATTTCACCTGTCTCCTATCCTGTTGCAGCCCTTTCTCCTGCTCCTATTTTATTTTCAAATACTGCTTTAAATTATATGAATATTTAGACCTTAATTATGTGATCTTTTAGCAGAAGAGATTATGATTTTCTTTCTGGATTTCTGTGACCTGTAGGTGGCCATCATATTTGCACCAGCTAACTAAGGGAAGGTGCTGATTTCTAGTCTTATTCTTGCTGGAAATAAACAAATAAATCGAGGTACCTACAACATCTACATTTATTCTCTGTTGCTCATTTCTGAGGACTCAAAGAGCATTATTGAAATTTTTGGTTAAATAGGTGAAAAAAAATGACCATCAAAACATTAAACAAGTTCTCCAGTTTTGCTTTTCATCCAGGGATACACCATTCCCTCACAATTACGGAGAATAAAGCACAGATTAACTGCTTTGCAGAGTGAGATCACTGTTGTGTCAGTGAGGACTTGTAGGTGTGACACCACTTGTGTGTGTCACTACAACTGTGATTTATGTGAGTGCCAAAGCACGAACTCACCACCTCCCACTTCCCAGAGTATGAGCAGGGAACATGAGAACTGCTGCCTGGACATGCAGAAAAGGTGGAAGATGCTTTTCCTCAAGTCTTCTCTATCTGCAGCCACACAATCACAACACAGGGTTTCAAAACTCCAAGGAACAATCTCAGATTTGCAACTGAATCACTGTATCTTTGAACCAAAGACTTCATAAAATAGCAAAAACCCCCCATATTTTTAATTGAAACACAAGAGAAGAACTGACAGTTGTAGAGATTTTGAAAGTATAAAAGCCTGTACCAGGTGATTCACCAACTGCTGATTCTCCCACTCCACTGAGTAGTATTATTCCCTTCTCTCTCAGGATTCCTTCCCATTTCATGCAGCACCACACAAAAACACAAGACACCTACATTTCCTACATCATAACTGTGTTACGGATTTATGCTCAAAGGCCCAAGAACATCTGCATTATTTTAAGTAACTAAGGTCTATTTTCTCCCTCTCTGCATCTCCCTTGGAGAACTTACTCCAGAGCAGCATGATTTGGTTGCACTTTGGACTAATTCTTACACACCTTATGAAATCCTTGAATACTCAGGACTGCTTAATTCTATTTTAATCCCATGTTTTTACTCAATATCATTATTTCTCCACAAACTACCTTTGCACTTTAGTATTTTTCAATATTGAGAATAAGACACCTTAGCCCATAAGTCTGAAAATGTTACTGATTTTGTACTCTTATCTCATAAATGGCATATTTTTAGGCAGGGCAAGCTCTCTGCCTCTGGTATTTTCTTGTTGAACCACTCCCACACTTCCCACAAACAGAAACTTGAACTTACAACTATTTCTAAGCATGTTTTTCTAAGGACTTAATCTTATCACAGAGATGCTTTAAGAGGCTATTTTCACCCAACCAGCCTGTGCCTGGTAATCCTTGGTTTAAGCATGTTTGTTTATCAAGTATTTAAGTTAAAGGACACTTTTTAAATAAAGGAGAAAATAAATGTAACTTGTAGCAAGAAATCCTACCTTAATTACTTCAGATAAATCTTTGACAAATATGACAAGATTCCCATCAAACATTTTTGTGAGAATACATGAGAGACCACAGCCTTTGGAGCAAACTAAATTTCAACTCCACTAGTTTTCCTCACAGACTACTAAAAGTATTTTAAACTATATGCATTTAAATGGTTATATGTGTCTCACCAATTTTTTTGTTGCTAACTTAAGATACTTAAGCAGGAATCAACTTCCAGCCCAGAGTATGACTCCAAACACTATCCACAGCCATTGTGCTCCGAAGTTATATAGGTTTGTTGTCATCATATAACAGAGCTATAATGTAACTTCACTGCAGCTGGGAACATGAATAAAATAAAATTTTAAGATGACATGTGACCCAAAACTCCTTTGGGACATGTTGCCTGAAAACATCCTCTACCCAGTGCCCTTAACTGACTCGTAACTATGGGACAGGAAAACAAACCAACCTTTATTTTTGTTGCAACCATAAAAATAAATAAAAACCCAACCCAACCAACAAAACAAAACCCCAAAATAACAGAACAAAACAAAAACCCCCCCTAACAACAAAAGATATCTATTTCAAGCAAGGTAAAGAAAGCAGTATGATCCAGAACACAGATCATACATATCGAAGAGCTCTTAAAGAGAGAATTCTGTTTCTTAATTGCCTCCAAGTCCTCTTCTCTGGAAGAGTATGCAGGATGTTAAAATGAAGGTAAGAAGGCATGAAAATTGTATCAAAGATCAAATATAAACAGAGCCTTTTGTGCCAGGCATTTTGATGAAGGCGACAAATAACCAAGAAATAGTGAAGAAAATTATGGAAATTAAAATTAACAGGAGGCTTTGGTAAATTGGGGGTGGTGGGGAAGAAATAAAACAATCCAGCAAAGCCAAAAAAGAAGCCATTACATCTAATTACAACCAGCAACGCGAGTTCCATATGATCAACTTAACTGCTTCACATATCCAATTGTANGCAGAAAGACTCCTTAGGTGGTGTATTCTGCAGAACACGGTTCTTTCTGCGTTGCCTTTTCTCCTCAAGAGTGATCCTGCTGTGTTCTCAAAGGAGACAGCTGCCTTATAGATGGGGTGTCTCCAGGCCTCCCGACTGGAGGATTGAAGCTTTACATATATATAATTAGAAATTAGAAAATGAAGTATGTTACAATATACATACAATTTGACAGAGACATTTGTGTTCGTTGACAAGCCTCTCCAGAGACAAGGACTCGATTACATCTGCTTCTGACAGAGCTCCTTCTCTGTCCTGCTTATTTGCCAGCCTGGAGAAAAGATCAAAAGAAACACTTAGCACCCTGACACAAGAGAGATTCACGAATTTCCAAAAGCTAGGTTTTTGAGAAAAGTAGGAAGAAGGGAAAGAGTGAGAAAGGAAAGATAAAATGTCTTATTTCATCTTTAATTCATTATCCTTTCTACTTAAACTTTCTACTTAGTCCATGCACCCTTTTCATCAGATATTAAAACTAAACAATCACTAAGGTGCTTAGTAAGTCCTTAATAATTATTCATAGAGAAAGCAATTATATTTACAGCTAAGATGTAAAAGACCATCCTGTTTTGCATCTAAAGTTACACAGTGTAATCTGTTGGAGTCACTGGATGAAAGCTCCAGAACTTTGCAACTTTCCAAACCATAAGCAATTCCTGCTTCATGATCACCTTAGGTCTGCCTTATTATCAAATATTTCTCTCTAATGCCAAACAACTTCATATGTGATGTTTTGAATTTGCTCTTCCTAAGTAAAACTTAAAGCCCAGAGGGAGGAAACATACCTTATTAAATAGCAGGAAGCAAAAAACCCCCATATAGCTTAAAAATACAAAAGTGTTCTGTAAGATGAAGTGCTATCATTCTCTTATTTCTTAGATATATGGCACCAAAGAGGACTCCAGAAGATAGACATCCATTTAGGATTACAAGAATACAACACAATCTTATTTTGCACATTCTGCAACAGTAATAATCCAAGCTAAGTGCAAAAGCTGCAAGAAGGAGTATTCCATAGCATTAGGGAATCTGAAAATTGCACTTGCTTCTCTGTAATAAAAGACTTCCACTAAAATAATGTTGTTCTGAAATTTAGCAACATTTCAATCACATGAGAACTCCGATTCAACCTTCTGGATAAGAAGACAAATATTTGGCTTTCATGAACTCAATGGCAGAAGGTTTTGGAACCAGAAATCAAGTCATCCTCATTAACTCAAATGGCTTTTAGGGAATGTTAGGCCAAAGCTTGTACTTTGGATTTATCATACTCCTTGCTGAGAAGGAACAATGTTAAGAATTCACTCTACAGTTAGGAGAACTTGTCTAAGACCTTATTCTTTCCTATTTTCCAGAATCACAGTATGAGAGTTTCAATTCTTAATTATTTTACTGCCAACAGTTTTTACTTTCAAAGAAACATTAGGGAAAAAGCTGTATTGCATCTACAGCTCAAAAAAACATTCCCTGTCATCATTAACCTCATGATTCATTATCTAATCTTTCATCTTTTCTAGAAGAGTTTGTTTATGAAGGAGACCATAGAAAAGTAGCTTCTCAAATGTCCAGTCTCTCTCAACCTTCATCATTCTTAACTATTTGTGGTCCAAACAGTTCACTTACTTATAATCATGCTGGGAATACAATCCCTACATCCCACTGATAATCAGAACTTTACTGACTTGCCTGCAGAGCTAAAAAGAGCATAAGGTTCTTCTCCCTGCCCCTCCTTTGATAACTTGTTCCCACTTCTCAAAGAGAGAACTTCTTCAGCACTTTGGATGATTCACTGCAGAGATTCCCGGGCAATACATATACAGAGCCTAGGATATTTTCAGTGTTTGTGTCACTGCTTCTTCTCAGCAACCAGCCAGAACATGAAATGTCCTCTCAGTGCTTAGCTATGAAATGGGATAAACCAGTGAAAAAATTAAATTAAATTCAAGAAAGCTACGGAAAGTAATTACAAGATCGGAAAAAATTATCTCCATTTTTTTTCCCCACCACTTAACATCTTTGTTACAGTCTGAAAATCCTACTGTGCTGCCCTCCAGTCTCCAAAAGCATTGCTCAGCAGTGCTGTCAATTCATCCAGATCTAACTGAAGAAAATATTTCTGGGTAGTGCTTGTTGCCACAGCCTATTCCTTTCTCACCTGAAGATTAAATAACTGTACTCTGTGCTGTGTTACTGGACTGCACACTCTACAAAGCACACAGCTGAGGCAGAATGAAATGCTGGTGAGCTGCACAGCTCAGTGTCAGTGTGACACTAAAGTCCTACAGCTTGCAGTAGCTGCTGATTTTTACCCTCTAATAGCTTGAAAGGTGTCATATTTGTCTTTCTGGTCAATTAGTTTCCATCTTCTCTGCAGCAACACTGACTGAGCATTCAAAAAATATGGCTAAGGTGCTACATCTGGAAAAGCAGCATATCCAAATAACTGCCTCCACCTAATGCTCCCCAGGAATCGAAGTGGGTTTGCTCAGGTCATACATTTACTGAGCACCTCAGACTTTAGGTCAAACACATAAATGGAGTTAAAATATTTTTAAGATACTATAGTAAAAGGCATTATTTTGCTGGGTTTTGTTTTCCATCTACTACTAGATCCAGCCAGCCTTGCTTCTTTTTCCCTTCTGGTGTAGAAGAAAGCAAGCCCTGCACTTGTGCTCCACTTCCAGCTCTTAAGGCCTCTCTATCCAAGGAGCTGCTCCCAGGCACTGCCTGTTGCTGGGCAGTTCCAGCAATGGATCCACCCCTCAGCAAGGCTGGGTTTCAAACAGGCAGAACCAGATTCCCCAAGTAGAAAGTAATCAATTTGCCTGTCTACTGCAGTGGCAGAAGTTTCTCTCTCACACTACACCCTCCTGAACACTTGGACAACTATAGAAGAACTAGAAGCAGAAGGAATGAAGAAAATCCTTAATGGAAAAGTCACTCAGGACATGTTACTTTGGGAAATATTCAGAAAAATGTTTCTCAGATTGTACTGAAGCAGGAGTTCTGCTGGAAAGGATAAAAAAGAAAGCCATCAGCATCGGATTCAGAGGTATATACTTTTTTCTTACCTAATATATATAAAGTTGCAAATATCTGGAAAAAAAGCTCTGTATTGGGGATTTAGAATGGAAATGTGCTCAAGTGTCAAGACATACAAACAATGTATGTCGACCCAGCAAAGAATTAGGTATTTCTGTGGGTGAATATAGTCTCAGAGCTCTACTGCTCATGCACAGAACACCAGGTTTCAGGGCAAGTTTTATGCAAAAAAATACCTTCTCCAGGGAATACATCAGAATTATCTTAAAGGATAGATCTTGGTTTTAAATTTCCAAGTCCGTTACTTCCTATATAGCAATTTTTCATGTTTAAAACCCCATAACAGGTATATATCAAAACATACTTGAAAGCACAGGAGCGTGTCTGTTGGTTTATCATGTTAAGTTTGCTGAGTAAGAAGCTTTCATATATAAAATCATGCCTGGCTTGCTTTCAATTTCACCTAAAGTATATTTGGAATTGTGTTGGTGTACCAAACTTACCTCATGCAAGAAATAAAGAAAAAGTAGGCACCTACTGCTTTTATATCAAGTAGGATTTGTCTAAGCAACTTAAGAGAAGCTTTTGAACTTTAAAAGTCACGGGAAACAATGTGGAAAGGGAGTGTATGTGTGCACTGGCACAAGTGACATCTGCAGTTCAGTGACAATATTTCTTTAGAAGCCAGAAGACATGCCAGAGAAAAACAAAGTCTGAATGCAATCTATCCTTGAGCTGTTTATAAAATTACTGAGCAAAGAGGAAAAAATCAAACAAAACAAAAAACAAACCAGTATTAAAGTTTACTTTACAACAGAAAAGATCTGGTGAAAAAAAAAATCATGTATGAAATGGACAGATTTGTATCTTGGCTTTCATCAGAAATCCAAGAAGTGTTAGAGAAAGGGTATGTGTGGGAAGAGGGTTTTATGTGAGAGGGTATGCGTGTGCACGTGTTTGTTTTCCTGTTCTGCAGAGTTGGAGTTTTTTTTAAGTACTGTTACTTTCCAACTGATGCATTTCCCTCCACTTGTGTGGGATTCTTATATAGTAACATAATACTGAACAGTGAATACTGCAGTGGGTACACACTGGGGGGTGATCTGTAAAAATGTCTCAGATGTGCTGTTTTTGGGGTTAAGTTTAATCAGCATCAGTGATCACAGACCCATGGTGGCCATCAAAATGAAGAGCAAAGCATCCCTGAGGTCAAAATATTACAGTGTCAGAGCTATCAAAAGGTTAAAAGCAAGTTTAGGAAAATGCATCTTTACAAGAATGATTACTCTGAGATCATTAGTCTTTAAGGCTCCTTGAAGAAGCTGTAGCTTTGTGGGACGGAGTCAGAATTCCTGGGGAAAGAAGGAAGACAGAACCTTTAAATTTAAACAGCAGCCTACACACAGGAAAGAACAGTGCTCTGTTCTTCAGTGTACAGTCAACCTTCTATTTAAAAATGCTGTTCTACCTTTTCTCCCCTCAGAAATTTTATCTCTCATCTATTAACTTTTTTCTTGGACAGCAATCAGAAGGATGTTTTATCCTAGAGAAGGGAGGCCTCAGCAGACACAGCATGAAAAAGTTTATTGGTCTTTTTATGCTTTGCTTATGTTAAACATCCACAAAAGTCAAACTCCTGATCCACAAACATGTCAGTTTGCCAGCTTGTTTTGCTTGTTCTTTCTTCTTCAGTTACTGGCAGTTCATGAGCTTTTTCAGGAAGTCATGGAACACAAAATTCTTTATATTTTTAGCAAACAATCAGATAGGAGAATAGACCAACAGTTTCAGGTCTTCTTGGTTGCTGACAATAATGACAAACCCATCAGTAACCTTTTACTGATTGACACATAGCTCTTCCTCAAATAAACTTACCTCATTCCTCTAGTTTGCTTTTCATGCCTTCAACCCTTATGCAAAACAATCCTTTGGATATTAGGCTAAGCTATAATGAAGAAATGATGAATAAAGTGCTACAAGATTATCTGCCTGCAAACAGCAATTAAGAGTTTGCTTTCATGCAGTTGCAAGGAGCTATGAGACATTTCTCTATTTCAAGCTTAGCCCGAGGCAGTTCCTCCAGGTCACATTTAAATAAGAGAATAATTAAGAATAAGATTCTAAACTCATCCTGTTATAATATCTCTGGGCAACTTCATTCTCATATTACCTTTTGAAATGGTCACAAGGTTGTCAATAATTATAATTTGTTTTATTTTGTTAAATTTTATGTTTTCTTACCATAGGTCTGAACCATATTCATATTTACTGAAAACATATTTCTCTGCTCTGCTCTCAGTTCAATCACACCTGTTGGTCAAATAGGCTACACCCAAAGAGACGTCTGAGCTCACATAAAACATGTTATTTTCAGCTTCCAGATGTGTAATTCCAAAAGAAATAACAATAAGTTATGTTGCCATATATTTCTGGACAAGATTTTTAAAAAAAAATTGTAAACATGAATTGGTTTTTTATACTTTATTTCACCTTGATATATCAATACCTAGACAAACAAAGTATAGTCAAATTGCCTATAAGATATGTTTTTATAAAAAACCTGCCTGAAAATCCTTACATTTATTCCAGGTGAGTTCCAAGGCTGTGATACAAAGCTCTGTGGTCTGACAGAAGTGAAATGGGAATGGAAAGTAGGTGGGATATTGTACAGGACAAATTTTGAATCTACAATTCCACTGTCAGGAAGACAAAAATCTCAAACCATTTAGAGCAATAAAAACCTATTAACTAAGATATACATATAACAATATATCCTATTAAACTTTAAGAATTTCACCTGTCTCCTATCCTGTTGCAGCCCTTTCTCCTGCTCCTATTTTATTTTCAAATACTGCTTTAAATTATATGAATATTTAGACCTTAATTATGTGATCTTTTAGCAGAAGAGATTATGATTTTCTTTCTGGATTTCTGTGACCTGTAGGTGGCCATCATATTTGCACCAGCTAACTAAGGGAAGGTGCTGATTTCTAGTCTTATTCTTGCTGGAAATAAACAAATAAATCGAGGTACCTACAACATCTACATTTATTCTCTGTTGCTCATTTCTGAGGACTCAAAGAGCATTATTGAAATTTTTGGTTAAATAGGTGAAAAAAATGACCATCAAAACATTAAATAAGTTCTCCAGTTTTGCTTTTAATCCAGGGATACACCATTCCCTCACAATTACAGAGAATAAAGCACAGATTAACTGCTTTGCAGAGTGAGATCACTGTTGTGTCAGTGAGGACTTGTAGGTGTGACACCACTTGTGTGTGTCACTACAACTGTGATTTATGTGAGTGCCAAAGCACGAACTCACCACCTCCCACTTCCCAGAGTATGAGCAGGGAACATGAGAACTGCTGCCTGGACATGCAGAAAAGGTGGAAGATGCTTTTCCTCAAGTCTTCTCTATCTGCAGCCACACAATCACAACACAGGGTCTCAAAACTCCAAGGAACAATCTCAGATTTGCAACTGAATCACTGTATCTTTGAACCAAAGACTTCATAAAATAGCAAAAACCCCCCATATTTTTAATTGAAACACAAGAGAAGAACTGACAGTTGTAGAGATTTTGAAAGTATAAAAGCCTGTACCAGGTGATTCACCAACTGCTGATTCTCCCACTCCACTGAGTAGTATTATTCCCTTCTCTCTCAGGATTCCTTCCCATTTCATGCAGCACCACACAAAAACACAAGACACCTACATTTCCTACATCATAACTGTGTTACGGATTTATGCTCAAAGGCCCAAGAACATCTGCATTATTTTAAGTAACTAAGGTTTATTTTCTCCCTCTCTGCATCTCCCTTGGAGAACTTACTCCAGAGCAGCATGATTTGGTTGCACTTTGGACTAATTCTTACACACCTTATGAAATCCTTGAATACTCAGGACTGCTTAATTCTATTTTAATCCCATGTTTTTACTCAATATCATTATTTCTCCACAAACTACCTTTGCACTTTAGTATTTTTCAATATTGAGAATAAGACACCTTAGCCTATAAGTCTGAAAATGTTACTGATTTTGTACTCTTATCTCATAAATGGCATATTTTTAGGCAGGGCAAGCTCTCTGCCTCTGGTATTTTCTTGTTGAACCACTCCCACACTTCCCACAAACAGAAACTTGAACTTACAACTATTTCTAAGCATGTTTTTCTAAGGACTTAATCTTATCACAGAGATGCTTTAAGAGGCTATTTTCACCCAACCAGCCTGTGCCTGGTAATCCTTGGTTTAAGCATGTTTGTTTATCAAGTATTTAAGTTAAAGGACACTTTTTAAATAAAGGAGAAAATAAATGTAACTTGTAGCAAGAAATCCTACTTTAATTACTTCAGATAAATCTTTGACAAATAGGACAAGATTCCCATCAAACCCCATCAAACATTTTTGTGAGAATACATGAGAGACCACAGCCTTTGGAGCAAACTAAATTTCAACTCCACTAGTTTTCCTCACAGACTACTAAAAGTATTTTAAACTATATGCATTTAAATGGTTATATGTGTCTCACCAATTTTTTTGTTGCTAACTTAAGATACTTAAGCAGGAATCAACTTCCAGCCCAGAGTATGACTCCAAGCACTATCCACAGCCATTGTGCTCCGAAGTTATATAGGTTTGTTGTCATCATATAACAGAGCTATAATGTAACTTCACTGCAGCTGGGAACATGAATAAAATAAAATTTTAAGATGACATGTGACCCAAAACTCCTTTGGGACATGTTGCCTGAAAACATCCTCTACCCAGTGCCCTTAACTGACTCGTAACTATGGGACAGGAAAACAAACCAACCTTTATTTTTGTTGCAACCATAAAAATAAATAAAAACCCAACCCAACCAACAAAACAAAACCCCAAAATAACAGAACAAAACAAAAACCCCCCCTAACAACAAAAGATATCTATTTCAACCAAGGTAAAGAAAGCAGTATGATCCAGAACACAGATCATACATATCAAAGAGCTCTTAAAGAGAGAATTCTGTTTCTTAATTGCCTCCAAGTCCTCTTCTCTGGAAGAGTATGCAGGATGTTAAAATGAAGGTAAGAAGGCATGAAAATTGTATCAAAGATCAAATATAAACAGAGCCTTTTGTGCCAGGCATTTTGATGAAGGCGACAAATAACCAAGAAATAGTGAAGAAAATTATGGAAATTAAAATTAACAGGAGGCTTTGGTAAATTGGGGGTGGTGGGGAAGAAATAAAACAATCCAGCAAAGCCAAAAAAGAAGCCATTACATCTAATTACAACCAGCAACGCGAGTTCCATATGATCAACTTAACTGCTTCACATATCCAATTGTATCTTTTAACTTGATGCAGCCCAAATCTCAGTTTTGGATGTAGGCTCCACTTTTATTGGGTGTATTTAAAACGTGGAAGAATATTCTATGTCGTTGCTTTGCAATTAAGCAAATGGACCTTTTAACTTGTCTTTTTTTTCCCTTTAAAAATAGAGAAGAGAATATAAAAATTTTCATTATCTTTGAATTTAGGACATACTTTATCATCGTGACAGATTAATAATGGTGGTCCAGCTCTCAGGATCTATTATTCCACCAGTGTGCTGATGTAATTGTCTTTATAAAGACTTTTCCAGTCACTTACGTCATGGGTTTGACTGCAGAGATTCACATAATCCAGATGAGCAAACCAGTCAAGTTATCAGAAGGCAAAGACTCTTGCAATCCCCTTAAAATATATTGATAAGAATGTAAAAATTGCATTTCTAAACCTGACAATTATATATCTAACTATACATAGCTATATATAAAGATGCCTACTAGAAGAACAAATACAAATTTAATCAACAGTGGATTTGCTTGATAAAAACAGAGAGGAGCAGGGAAAAAAGTGTTTCTGGGAGATACAAAATACCAGAGCAACCAAACTGAAATGTCCCAGTGCATTCCTAATTTTTCTCCCCAGATAAATTTATGAAAGCATATCAATAATCCCTGAACTGGGCAAAACTGGACCTGATTCATCCTTCTTTATCTCTGCCCCCTCCTCAAATCCATCCTGCAGCCACACCAGTTCAAATAAGTAATTGCAGCCATATTATTAGAGCAACTCCGTTGCTACAGATTATCTTTTTTAACCAGCAGCCTGCGATTCCAGCTCCAAACACGGTTTCAGCACCAGTAATAGTTCAGATAACAGATGGCACAGCAGCATTTATGACTGAGGAATGGCTAGAAACACAGGCAAACCTCACTAATGCTTTTCAGATTTGTAGGTATGAGAGCATTTAGAGCTATTTCTAAATACAGTCAATAACTTAAAGCTATAGTTTAACAAGTAAATGCTTCCCCATCTACTGATTTGCTTTGGCTTTCCTGCAGTCAGTCTCTTGGTTGCTTTAACCCAAATTTTCCAACCTCTGATGAACAGAAGGCCTGATGAGGATGTGCCAGTCTGTGCTACTTTATCACGGTAAAAATATCATCTTTTTAAATATTTTTTTGAATATAGGGGACACACTAACTCACTAGATTGCTTCCAGTCCACATATTCTGTTTACTTAAGTCTAAAAGAATAGGCATATTCTCCTGTTATTGACAAAAACTTCAAGGAAATGGATCTTTCATCTCAATCAAAACCCGACGTGCCCCTATCCACATACACAAACACACAGGACAAAAACAAGGACTTACAAAGCAAAGCTTGTTGTGGAACACACAAGAAGCCAAGCCAACAATTTCCAAGGTTATCTTTGTCAGGAAGACATCCTTATTTATTTGAAACCAGCATGTGTTTCAGTTGCCAGTATAATCAACCACATTTATTGCCAGGTACGTTCAGTGGCAGGTTTTGAAGGCAAATCTGACAGAATATAAGATATGAAACTAAGGTTCAATTGCTTGCATTCCATTCTTTTGTGAAAATAATGTTTAAACAAGAAAAAAAACATCTTAAGTATTTTTTGCTTGCTGCTTTGCAAGTTTGATAGTTGAGAATGTTTGGAGATTTGCAATTTTGTTCATTCTCTCCATCCCCCCCTAATTATTTGAAGACAAATGCACCTAAAACATTGAAAAGCAGATGTCAATCACTAATGCATGTACCTACTGAAGATAAAGCCCAGCATATGCTCCAGTGTTTAACTTACTTTCAAATCATAGGAGACTAATCATATGAAAAATGGGTGACTGCCATTTGTGGTCTGAAGGAATAACTGGATGACTTCATGCATGTTTCAGAGCTTTTCAGAAATCACTTGCATTTTCTTGGATACCAGAAAGTCTTGCCACAACACATCAAAAACATTAATGGTGCCCTTAGAACTTGCTTTTAATCCCAGGTTTGCCAAGCCAGGCTAAATTAACATGCGTCAGCAGCATTGGGCTACACTGAAACACATTTTCAGGTCACTTTGCCTGCAGCAGCTCTGAAACATTCCTAAAGGATGTTATCTTGAAGGAATAGCCTGACTTGTGCTGTGGGGAGAAGTTCAGCAATGAAGAGGCATTACTGTAATGAAACAAATCCATGTTGCATTTTCTCCACCCCAAAATAATACTCCTCAATAAATAACCTGCAAGCTTTTCTGATCACAAGTTTCAGTACATTACGGTAACTTTTTGGATTCTCTTGATGTGAATCAAACACTAAATTCAAATACTAAAGGATTGTAAGGAAAAGAAAAAGCAGTATGGGAAATCCACACTAGGGTAGAATATCAACATTCTTTCTCATGATTGACCCCTGAAGCAGTTCAAGTTTTGTTTTTCAGTTAATCCTCCTGCAGAAAGCCACATTAAATCTGTGAAGATGTGTCCACACTGTTTAACTCCAGGACTTATATTATTCAAAAATCTATTTAGGGACTTTAAATATGAAGTATCATTTCAAACTGTTCAAATACAACAAAATCATTTGCATATTGACAGGTTACCTGACTGATCCTTTGCAGTTATTACAAATGCATCCTTCTGGGTACTATAAAGAAGTACTACATTTGCTTAGCAATAAAAAGCAAATATAAATCTTTAGAATCAGGGTTTAAGAATAATTGCACCTTTAAGTCTTTCCTGAAACATCTAAAAACAAGCAAAAGATACTTCTGTCCTGTTTAACTGCTTGAGCAGCCCTTTGGAAGACATGCATTTGATTTCACCAGAAGACCCCAAGTAAAAAAATCCCATAATCTTCTGGTCCTGAACATTTTACTTCTTACTGAAATTTTCCATTCTTGATCACAGTCCAAGCAAATAACTCATGTAGAGTTTGAGAAAAACACTTTCTTCCCTATAATTAAAACCAGTTGAACTCAGATGTTTTCTAAAACATGCACAATGGAAACTTTCTCTTAATTATATCTTCAGTAAAGCTATATATTTAAGAATATAAAATATATATTTAAGAATATATTGTGAATTACATCTTCACAACATCTAGGGTATAAAACAAAACTAAATCCACTTTCTATTAAATAAGAAACAGCACTGAGTTGTATCCCACTATGGTGCACAACGCACATTTGCATAAATTTAATGAAGACTGCAAATGATAATGTAAGAATATAAGACAGTAATTGAAAATAGGCTTAGAAAATCTTCATGCTGCAACATTAGTGATGGGGATTCACCTCCAGAAAAGCTCAAACGTAAAAAAAATAATCTATTTTCATGCTAAATCATTAGTTTTTAAATTACAAGAGTTGCGTTTCTTACAGAGAATCCAAAAATGGAACAGCAGATTCACTGCTATTTCCAAAAAGATTTAAAGGTTGATTAATTTTAATCAGATAAAGAACTAGGATAAAATAAGAATTTGAGTTACTCCTCTCTTTCTCCCCAGAATAAAAGTGCTCTCCACACATTATGTTCTTTCCTGGTCCAAGTTCTGCATTCTACCCACACAAATGGGATTGGGCTCCAAATCACTGTATGTGGAAGGAACACTGTAGTGAAGAGGCTGAGGAAAGACTGTAACCAGACCCATGTGAAGGTGGTTATGATAAACTCCTCAAGAGCCTGGAATAAATGGTGGAGTGCACTGATACCACCTGTCTCATATATTTGTTCAGAATACCCACCACTTTTACTTTTGTGCAGAGAGAAGTGGCTCTAACCTCCCAAACTACTTTTGATGTTATACATACAACTGCTAACATTGATTGTTGTTACGTTTTGATTACAGTGAAACAAAACCAACAAAAAAAGATATTGGATTAACTTCCTGTGTTGCAAGAGGGGGGAAAAAAAGCCCAGGGAAAAAAAACCCTGAACACAAAAGCCATGAGAGACCGACTGCAAGAGTTTAAACTGAGGGCTAAGGAACTACAGAGAGCTGGAGAAAACAACAGTGCAGCTGTCCAAGAAGAGGAGCAGGACTTTGAACAGCAGGCCATTATTTATGAAAAAGAACCCATAACTGAAAGGCACTTGCATGAAATCCAGAAGCTTCAGAATGAAATTAATAACTTGGTGGAAGAAGTTAATAAATTCAGCCAACAACAAAAAAGCCTGGTGTCTTCAATGAGGCGATTCAGTGTTCTGAAAAAGGAATCTAACATAGCAAGGGAAATCAAAATTCAAGCAGAGCACATAAGAAAATGTTTGGAGGAACTGTCGAAGACAGTGAAAAAAGCTGAAAATGAGCATGGGCCATCACGTGCCACAGTGAGAATCCTGACTTTTCAACATGCCTTCTTATCCCACCGTTACCTCAATGCCATGCTCTCCTACAACGAAGCCATAACTGCCAAGCAGGAGAAATGCAGGAGGTTTATTGTCCGTCAGCTCGAAGTAGCTGGTAAGGAGGTGTCTGAAGAAGAAGTCAATGACATGCTCCAACAAGGAAAATGGGAGATTTTCAATGAAAATCTCCTCACTGAAGCCAAAATAACTAAAGCTCAGCTTTCGGAGATCGAGCAGAGACACAAAGAACTCGTCAGTCTAGAGAACCAGATCAAAGACATAAAGGAACTTTTTATCCAGATATCAGTGCTGGTGGAGGAGCAGGGGGAGATGATCAACAACATAGAGATCAGTATGAACAACACTCAAGAATATACTCAAGTATCTAAAGAAAAATTTGGGCTTGCAGTCAGGTATAGAAAAAGAAACCCCTGCAGAGCAATATGCTGCTGGTGTTGTCCATGCTGCAAATGATAAAAGAAATGAACTCCTGGAAATACCAATGGTTCCTACACAGCAAACTGATCTTGAAAAGCAGTCTTAGGATCTCATTTTCCCTTCAACAGCGCTCTCAGGAAAAACTCTGTCTATTTATCCAAAGAGAGTTAGAAGAATGCAAAGAATGTTATGGTTTTCACATAAACACATGAATAAGGGGAAAGGATCAAAGGACAAAAGCGCCACTTTTTTGTTCTTCTGACTCAAACTAAAGTAATGTGGCAACAAACTATCTGTGCTTTTGGGAAGCATTGAAAGCATTGTTATCTCAAAGACAGATTTCATAATAATGGTCTAGTTGCTTTTTACAAAATAATAATTGGTATTTTTAATTGCCTTGTGTTTTTTAGCACTTTTATTTACTTGATTCAAATTCTAAGGGTTTTTTTCCCCCAGAAATCTGAAATTCTACAAAACCAATGTACACATAAAGCAGACTCCATTAGTAACAATCCAGAATGTGATGCCTAAACCAAGCAAGAAGTCAGAAGAGAGTTATCTGGAGTGTTTCACTACAACTTCTACAGGAAAAGTTACTCACAGACATTGGGTTATTTATTTAATAACACTCTGCTGTATTTCTTACAGATAGGGGTTGAGCTCTGTTTTCTGAACAAATTAAAGAATACCAGCAGCAGCAGAGCACATCACCAAACCTACAAGGATATTTGTCAGCAGCTTGCTGAGAAGCCAAGCATTAACAAACCGACACAGATATTTATATTATTCAGCTACACAGGCAGACCCTCTCCTAGGTAAGGATAGGGGAATATGATACTTTATCACACAGTGTTAAGGCATTTTCTTACTGCTGCCTGTTCTATCTAAACGTTCAGTTGCATCTGCAGTCTCACTTTTGCTAGGACAAAAATTAAAGGAAAAATATAAAAAACCCAATAGAACTCCATACTTATTTAAAAAAAAAAATAACCTAGAACCAGAGGATGATTTAGGGTTGGAAGGAATTCCTGGTGGACCTCCAGATCATCCTCCTGCTCCAATGTTTGCTCAAATCAAGACAGAAATTTTCCTGGTTGCAGGTCTTGTCTACCACTTCTGATCCTACCACATGCCCCTGAAAAGAACCCTGTTATCTTCACACCTTATTACTTAGGCAGCAGGAAGATCTCTCCCTTAGTTTCTTTACTTCTAGTCTGAACAAAAGCAGCTCTCTGACTCTCCTGATATGTCACATGCTCCAGTACCCAACTGGACTCACTACATAATAATCACATTTATCTTCATGGTAGTCCTGTGGTGGGAAGCCCAGAATGGTGCAGGACATGCATTTATTTGTACTCTACAGGAGTTGCCAGAACTTCTAATGGAGGGTTTCCACAACTCTAGATGGTTCCATGAAATTCTGCTGATTGTAGAAGCTTGGGATCTTCAAATAGGAATGAAAACCAGATGCCTAAAGCAGCAAATAAGAATAGCTCCCCTGAGTACCTGAACCAGCAAGCAGAAAAGGAGTGCTTTTGCTTTCCATATTCCCAATGGTTGGCTTCTACCCCGTTCCCAACTGCTTTTGGAACTTAACAAGAAATAGCTTTCTAATAAAATTTAACAGAAAATAACACTGCAACCAAGGCGAAAAAAGTTATTTCCAAAAAGAAATTAAAAAAAAAAAATCCACACTAAAACCGAACCCCAAAGCAGAAATATATTTCTGAACTCTTTGTGCTGTGCAAAGGCACAGTCACTACTACTATATCTGGATACAGTCAGAGAAGGCAGAACAAGCTGCATTACAGTTCTACAAGGCACTGAGTGAGCTACATGTCTTCAGATTCATCTAGTGGGACAAAAAAAAATAAAAATCAATCCACTATCAAAGGGCACTACTGAATTATTGTTACATTGGGATATTTATAAATAGTTGGATTCCTTCCATCCCACATTAAAATTGCAACTGAAATTAACTGTTATCAAAATACATTCAAAGGTCTGAACCTTAAAGAGAAAAATATTATAACATTTATAAGAAATAAAGTTAATGACACCACAGATATTATTTCATTAAACAACCTCCTGTAACTGCTGCATATATGGAAACTACCTTTATGTTTCAAGAGCAGAGTAGAAACCAGACAATAAACAATAGAGAGAAAAAAGTTGCTATGGCCAACCTATATATATATATATATACATATATGTATCTATTTATGTATATAAACTTATATAATACACACAGAAATATGCACCTAACATCAACACCACCCCATCTTCCTTTCCTGTTTTTACTTTTAGAAAAAACAAAGGTACATAACTTTCCTTCTCTGCTGGGCCCTTAAACAGAAAGGCATTGTGGTACTTCTTGAGGGATTATTGCAGCCAGGATGGACAGGAGAGAAAAATCAAAATACAGCAAACACCACTGGTTTACACAGCATCTCCCATGCAGAGGTGTTCACATCCTCATCTGAGAGGGAAATGTGTTCCTGGGCCAGCCACCTTCTTCATACAACAGAGATGCTTCTCTGAAGCAAACATGATCTTGTTAAACAAGAGCTGTGCTTTAAATTGTGGAGTAAAACTTGAGTTTCACGAATATGTAGGAAAACGATACAAAAGTGAACAGTTCAAGTAGTTCTCAGATGTATATTTGGTTAGAAACAGGCAAAACAGAAACATATAAAACACACTGAAGAAGAACTGGGAAGTGAGAAAACCAGGCCTTGTGGAAAGCTTTTTCTTAATACAGGGTGGTAATAACTGAAAATAAATAGCATTAACTAAAACTTACACTGAAATCATGGGAATTTGATATTGAGCATTCAAAATTATGAACAGCAGAAATTTTGCAGTGATCACTAAAGTAACTTTCCAGTGTTTTTGTTAGTTATATAATCATACAGAAGAGCAAACTAATTAAAGCGGAGCTCTGAGTGTTCTACTAAGAAAAATAAAATATTAATAGCTATAATCCCTTATCACCAAAATAACAGGCAGAAAGGAGCTTTCTACTAAAATAAAAATACCTGACCAGCAATTTCCCTGGTATAAAAACATCAGCCAAAGCACACAGACTTGTATTTCCTCTTGCAACATAAAAAACTCCAGACAACCAAAACAAAAGCCCCAGCAGACAATTAACCCCAAACAAAACTAGTATTTGCCTAAATAATAGGAAGTCTGTGTGTTCCTTTCTGATAAAAGGAAGGACAAAAAAAACATTCTAAGTGAAGAAAATTTAAACCTGTATACCTTTATAAGGCTTGAGGATGCTGAAAGAATTTACCAATGAATCTAAGAACTGTATGAACTACTTTCTACAACTTAGTGCCCCCATAAATAACAGACTTAAGCACTTGAGTGTTGAACATGAGCAAAGCAAACATAAATTAGGTGATAACACTCAAGAGGGAGAAAACTGTTAACATTTTTAAAAAGTTTAACATCTCAAAGTAATTTGCACGAAGAGTCAACAACAGCCAATACCTTCTGCACTTTAAGAATCTATTAGAAGGCAATAACATCAACAAATTTAGTTTAGTCTAAGTAAACTCAGTTAATAAATACACTTTGCCTTCTGATTAGTCGCTGAAATGGATCCTAAAGCAGGATCAAGTCCCAGGGAAGTGAGTGGGGTCTCTGCAGGTACAGCCAGCCACCCACATAAGCTCCAAATAAACTCCATTACAGGATTAGGGCACAGAGATTTCTACAAAAAACAAATCAAACAAACAAACAAACAACAACCCCCCCCCAACAACAAAAAAACCCTAAAAGAAACAACAACAACAAGAAAACAAACATACAAAAAACCCCACAACCCCCCCATATCATAACCCAAAACCACCCTGAAGTTGTATTTAATTAGAAACAGTTGTCAACTGTCACAGCTGCATTTTCAGAACAGATTTGGGTTAAAGCCACTACATTAAGCGGCCTTTATTGCCTTCCCTTGCACTAGTAACATTCAGAGCAATGGAAGGTAAAGTCTGATCTATTTTCAACATAGACACCATTAGCTTGCTGAACTACACTCCACTTCATCAAAACAATTAGCCACTTGCATCCTGGTGGTTACCACAGCATCACTATTTCTTTAAAGTAAGACGCTTCTCCTCTTAGTTTTACAGATTCCTCATGATAGCACAGAAATGTTGGGCAATTGAAGGCATTATGGAGGTCTTATGCCCACCAGACATTGTCCTGATAAACCATTTAACAGACTTTATTTCGTAACTTCAAAAGGGTATTTGTTATCAAATACCCTTTTGATAACAAGGGAGTGTTTTGATAACAAGGGTATTTGATAACAAGGGCCTGAATTGAATGAAATATGTTATTTCCAATATTTTACAAAACCTAATAAGCAGAGAAAAAGCACATGCCAAACACTATTAAAGGAAGCTTTCTTTAATAAGATTTTGCTGATCATGTATCAGCAGCACCACCATGTGTTAAGTGAACAAGACATTTATTGCTGAGAGATCGCCAGTATTGCTCAGTATAATCAAGCATTTACAATTTAAGTAATTGATGCAGGCCTAAGTAATGATATTTTTACATCGTGTTGTCATGCCAGATTTGTAAGGCCTGTCATTTCAAGTAATATTACAATTTTAAAGTATTAAAAAATCCCATCTTATTGTTTTTCCACTGCTAAAGAAAGAGAAGACAAATAAATATCCCTGAGAAGGATTAAATAAGATATAAAGTCAGAGGTAGTGAATGGATTCAGGATATCACCAGCTACTATGGAGGGAAAGAGGAAGGGAAAGAGGGAGAGAAAGACGAGGCTTTGTTCCCCAGCATGATATGAGAGTAACATAAATAAACATAAATATCATAAAACTAATTGTAATATTGCTTAGTGCTAAAGTTACAGCAGTATTAGTGTCCTTTAACTTAGTAGTATTAGTTATTAGTATTACTATATTACTTTAACTTACGTTCACACTATACATAAATGATTCCTCAGAAGGTCTAAATTTCCCAAATTTCAGATTATTAGGAGAACATTTATTACTTACACCAATACGGGTTTTCCCGATATCTTAGGGCTGTTTAAAACTTCTATCATGGCTTGCTTTGTTTCTTCCATTCTTTCAACATCACTGGAATCCACCACAAATATCACCCCGTAGGACTCAGCATAGTAGTTCCTCCAGATATTCCGAATTCGTTTTCCACCTCCCAAATCAAAGATTGTCACTTCAAAGCGTCCCTGCTTAAGATCAATTTTGGAAAACCCAACTGTTGGAGCCACATCTTCAGGAGACTCTGTCAGAGTTCAAAGAAGAAAGTTTATCTTTCAGTTTAAAGAGGATTTAATATCGTGATTTGTGCAGCAAAATTAATATTTTAAAAACATGGAGTGAAATCTCTCTCTGTTAAATGGCATCACATTGACAACAACATTTTTATTTTTACATTAAGATTTTCCCCTTTTCTCAGGTAATTCTGAATTAACACATTAGTCTTTTAGCCAGTTGCTTTACATTAATTTAGATAGGAGCATTAGGTCAGGGCGGTGGAGAAAAGAAAGGAGCCAAAAATGCAGTTTTTAATAATTTATTTATATTAAAATATATTTATTTATATAATAGATTTATTTTGCTATTTATAAATAATATAATTAATATATTTATACTGAATATTTAGTATTTTAATATAGATAGTTCCATTGCAGCAGTCTTCAGTGTACTGCCATTTTTACTTCCCCCTCACCACCATCTGAACAGTTATCCAGCATTTGCATGGTATTAATTCAAGTTCGAGAAGGAAAACAAACAAAACAGTTAATGCATTATGACCTGGGAACCCTTGTGCTCTGCTAAATTTATTCTTTATCCTCCATGGTTGCCAAAACAACTTCAGAAGTTCAAAGCAAGGCCCAAGATGAAGTGAACGAAACCATGTTCCTTTGAGATGTAAACTACTTAACTCTCTTAATTCAAGAACAGGTTTCAGCCTTTCTTTGTTTATTGTTATTTTCTGTGTTTCTAGTTTGCCATGCAATATGCTAAAACTATTATAGTTTTATATTTAAAACTCTTGCTCACTGTCTGCCTTCCCTGAGGGCAAAGAAAGCTTGTACTTGCCTCACACCACTAAGCTCTCTCTGCAGGGCTGAGATAATTGGATATATTCAATTGTTTTATGTAGTTTGGTAGCCACAAGGCAGGAGAAACGGGTGTAAGATTCAGTTATTTTGGCAAATAAGACTTTAGTGGCCATGCTGATTTACCCAGAGTGCTAAAAACTGAGATATGACAGCTGGGTTTTAGCAGAAACCAACTGCAGCTGCAGTCTCCTCCTACAGACTGGGTGTCTGATGCACAGCCAAAAATACTGGTTCTAATCTCTGCAAGCCCTGCTAAGGGAAAAAAAACAACCCATAATTGTATTATAAGGCAACTATTTAAACACTGTGAAACAGTCACAGAAATCAGAACTATCTTTTCCTTGAGTTTAGAAATACCCATATTTACCTCATCTTTTTTCCCCAGAAAAATAGGATTTTTAGAAATAACTGTCATATTGAGCTAATAAAGGGATTAAAGTGGATTTTGATATAGAATGGAAGGCCAAATAACTAAACACTCATGTTTTCAGGGCAAAGATTCAGGAACATGAGAGAATATCCTTAATTTTATTCCTGCTTTCTTACATAACACAAGTAAACAGAAAGTTGAGGTGGAGTCTACAAGTCTGCCAAAACACTACTTAATACATTCTTGTTATTGCACAAGATGAAAGTTATTTAGAAAGACAATTCCAGAAGTAGGGGGAAAAAATCCTAAAGAGAATTTTCGTTTTATCTCAAATTACATCCTGCTTGCACTGTGTCATCAGATGGTTCAAAGCACCCTTCAAAATTAAGTTGTCTCTTACTGCTAATTTTTTAGGCACTAATTTCAGTGCTTTTCTGATGATAAATGATGACAAAAAATATGTATTATTAGAATCATCCTTAATGTTATTATACACACATATGCAATTTCCCTCTTTTTAACCTTTTTGTCATTATATATAATTACAACACTGATTTTTATATAAAGTTTGCACGCTACTGGATGGTCACCTGAGAGCAACCTGAGCACAGGCACACAAGTAAAAAAGAAAAATATGAAGTCCATTGATTTCTCTGATGTACCCCAACATGTGAAGCAGATCTTTAACCAGAATATTTTGTATCATGGCATTAATTCAAAGTAATTATTACATAGAATGTGGTCTACAACTGTCAGAATTTTTGTCCTACACTTTTGCTTAAATCAACTGACAGAGACTAGCAGCTTGTTTGTAGTTACAATGTTCCTTCAGCTATTTACTGAACTGCTGAAAAGACCTTATTCTTGTCAAAAATATCCTATGATGCTCATGAAATTTAAAAAGAACCCAGAACATATTTTGTTGCAATTTAGCATTTTTTGTTGCAATTTAGCATTTTGCACACTTAACAATACAGAGGTCAGCTCAAGGCATATCAGCATCAAGATACTCTGAACATTTGGTTTTTTGGGCTTTTCGGATTTAAATTATTGAAAATTAGGAATTATTCTCTCTCAGTGCTCCATTTAGACAATAAATAACTTCCTTACCTCCTTGAATTCCTCGGACTGTAGCAGTTTTACCAGCATTATCAAGACCGACCATTATTAGTGTCACCTTCCTCCAGAAGGATACAAATAAAAGAGAAAGATATTTAAAATCTTTTTCTCCCTCCAGTTAGACATCACTTATTTTATTATATTTTCTGTAACACATGCATAGCAAATTTACCACCATACCAAGGAGCAGCAATGTTACAATTGCGTGTCTGGTGTTCAGTATGTCAAACCGCCTGAAGAGACAGAGCAGCAGAACAAGGTATGAAATGAGAAGTCTATTATTGTGGTTCTAAGGTTCATATGAGACAACGATTTTGCTTTCAATTTGTATTTGCCTGCTGAAATTTAATTTCATGGTACTGTAAATTTTACTTGGTGTGGTCATGGTCCCTTTAACAATTCCTGGTAAAATGGTAATTTCATTTCCATTGCCCTGTACTTTTACCATCTCTCTGCCTCAAAGCTGTTCCTGTATTAGGAATTTATTTCTGTCTCCAGGAGTGCATCTGAACAACACTACACAGTACACAAAACTTGTGTAGACAGCACCAGATGCTGTAAATATTTACCAGAAGAGGATTTTAAACAAAGCAATAGGAAAAGCATGACTGTGTACTCCTCAGTTCTTCCTCCTATTCACAAACACTCAGAGCAGTCAAATGAAATTTGTTCAATTTTATGCCCCTTTAAGTGAAGTAATACTAAAACCATTGCTATTTCCAGACTTAAAACTGTAATAGTATCAAACATGAAGTATAATTTATGCAAGTTCTTTCAGAAGAGCCAAAAAGCTCTGAGAAAAGAATCTAAAAATGAAGAGTAGGATCATAATACATTATACTTTAACAGGAATCTAAAATTAGAACTTTTATAAACTCACAATTGTCTCTAACACATTGGTAGTGTCAGAAAGCTACTCAATCCAATATAGTTCTTTGAACAGCAGCACCTTCTGTAAAATCTAAACTATGTAGCACTGAAGAAAAGAGCAAACCCTCCTACGTGAGTGTGAAGTATAAATAAGTTTATTTATTTCCCATAGTTTGCACATAGTTTGAAACAAACTATGTACTATCTGTGCCTCTCTGCTACTTGGAGGAAAAAGCAAGATGTCAAAGTAATAGAAACAATGAACAACAGCAGAATTCTATAAATGAGAATGGATCACCAAGCTACCCAGGAAATGCAGTATTAAGATACTTAGACAATAATAAGAAAATAAGTTTTACACTGGGGCTATTCTTGACAACAAAGTGTTTTAACACATTACACTTGAAAATTTCAAAATGCAAAAACTAAACCAATAAGATAAAACCCAAACAAACACAGAGTGACTCCATCAGTGGACAAGCGAGGGACTACAGATGACATTTACCTGGACTTCCATAAAGTCTTTGACATGGTCCCCTAACGTCGCGACGGAAAGCTCTAGACACCTCAATATGAGAATCCAGGAACTTCGTTTATTGTAGATTGATAGTAGCTTAATATACACTCTATAATAGGTTCATGAATATTACAGAAATTAGGCTCATTATTGGTACCCGGTTAGGTGGTGATATCATCTTAACTGCTTTCCACTGTTTACACAGGTGGCTCGTTAAGTGCCTTTGTTTTGGTAATGCCTAGCTCCTGTTTCTCAGCTCAATTTAGGATACCCAAGGACACTGCAGCTTTCTCACGGCCCTGCTATCTCTAACTTTCTCATGGGCCTAGTGAAAACTGCTTATACTTTAGCAGTAGTCTTATACTTTAGCAGCTCATCCATAGCCTTAGCCATGTTCATATGTCCTCGCATTTCTAACCAATCCTCTACAGTCCCCCCCAACATCCTTCTCCCTAAACTGGAGAGATGGATTCCAAGGTGGATAAGGAATTGGTTGGACAGACACATCCAGAGGGGAATGGTGGCAGCTCAGAGTCCCCATGGACATTAGTGACAAGTGGTGCCCCTCAGGGGTCCATATTCAGGTGAGTGTTATTTAATACCTTTATCAATGACAGAGATGAAGGGATCCCTGTTGGAGTGAGTCCAGAGGAGGGCCACCAAGTGAATTTGAGGGATGGAGCACCTCTATTACGAGGAAAGGCTGAGAGAATTGGGATTGTTCATCCTGCAGAAGAGTAGGCTTTGGGGTGACCTAATTGCAGCCTTCCAGTACCTGAAGGAGCCACAAGAAAGCTAAGAGGGACTTTTTACAAGAGCTTGAAGTGACAGGACAAGGAGGAACAGCTTCAAACTGAAAAAGAGTAGGTTCAGATTAGGTATTAGGAAAGAAGTCTTTACTGTGAGGGTGGGGAGGCCCTGGCACAGGTTGCTCAGAGAAGCTGTGGATGCCCCATCCCTGGAAGTGTTCAAGGCCAAGTTGACGGGGATTTGAGCAACCTGGGATAGTGGGAAGTGTCCCTGCCCATGAGGGTGGAACAAGATGATCTTTAAGATCCCTTCCAATCGAAGCCATTCTATGATTCTGTAACAAACATTTTAGCACCACCCTATAATGCTCAGCCTGAGGAAACAGGACATGAAAGACAGTATTTTGAATTTTATACTTTCCTGAAGTCAGAAACAAAGCACCCAAATTGGAGATGATTAACATTTCACTTTTAAGATCAGAAGATGTATTAATTATCTCCCGGAGAAAAAAACTGATGGATTTTTGTAACTGAATTAAAAAATACGAAGCAAATGAAGTATAGGTGGGATACAGGAAGATCAGCACAGAAATGTAGAATAGCTTCCCATGTTTACCTGACAGGTTCCCGCCACCGTTTTAACCAGTTGCAGCAATTGGCCATGAGACTGAACATCCCTCTTCACTATCCATCCAGAGCCATCCAGAAACAATGTGGACAGGCCAGAGCAACCCAAAAAGACTTTGTCTTGTCACTGCTGCTAGCAAGGAAAAGAAGGGAAAAAAAGGCATGGTTAGCCCCTATGTTTAACCAAGGCAAGGCATTTCCCTATCTGTTCATGTTCACTTAGCCCATGACAGTCCCATTATTTCTTTCTCTTTTCCATCCTCTCAAATTTCATGTGCCCCCATTTTACGTATCTGGGCAGCAACAACACAGTATTCACATAAAATAATAATGCAAGGCAACTGCACACAAGGAAACCTGCAAGTTAGAGGAGCAAGACGTATCAAACTACAAAATTCCAGTGCTTGCCTTGCTGACACATCCCACAGTTCTGCTGAGGGATGGAAAGTAAGGACCAATTTCAAGCATGAGTAAGGCTTATAAGAACATAACAGGATAAGGCATTAAAGGCAAACACAGAATGTCCCTACCTGATAAGTGTATTCATTTAACTGTCAACTACTTTTACACAAAAAGATCCCACAACAAGGAAACTGGGTTCTCTACTGAGTATTTTGAGGAACTGGCAACTGTATCTAGTAATGGTCACTAAATTAAATAGAAGTATCAATTACTTCCATCATTTCACAATCCCACTTTCTACTCTTTAAGGAGAAAGAAACTCAGAATATTCCTCTTTTTCACACTGCTCTATGAAACAAACAATGGAGAATGACTGCGTGATATGTGCTTGGCTATTTTGTTGTACACACATTTATATTTATTTATGTTTATATATATTTATTTATGAAACAGTAAAGCTTACACGAACCATGCAGTCAAGGGCACAGAGATACAAAAGCTTTAAAACTCCTTTAGTTATCCAAGTTACAATAATCCTATGGCAAACAACAGTAGTTGTCCAGGTAAAAGCCTTTTACTTTACTGTATATTAGAGTCCAGCACTTGTTAGGGGCTGGAAAAGGCTGTTTAGGTTGTTTCTCCCCTGGGAAAACGCAAAGCCATTTGTGGGATTATGTTTTCTCAAGTGCACTTGGTGGGTAACGTGGAAGGGTGGGGAAATCCAATGTGCATCTCAAAGAAATTTAAACTTGGGGGAAAATAACCCATGATTTGAGTTTTATGTTATAGGATGTGCACTGTCACCTCAGCTCATCTCAGCTCCCATTTTGATCAGCAGATTAAGCTAAGAAAACAACTGGATTCACATTAGGGCAGCTGGGATGCAGACATATATTCTCTACTGCCAACCTGCCTCCATGAAAAGATGAACTGAGAGTTGTGACACTCTGAATTACCACAGCAAGCCTCCTAAAGCTTGAGTCTCAAAATCCCTCTCATATTTTAAATTATAACTAACCTCAAATCAAGGTAATTTCAAATGATGCAGAAAACTGAATAATTAGAGATTATAACAACTTTCCAAATCTGTCATCTTTCAAATCTAGACAAAAGTGAAAAAGAATTGAGGAACTATTCCTAATAGCCCTATGTTGTCCTTAAAAAACTGTGGTGGTGGTTTAGATAATTTCATACAGGTAGGAACTGAGAGCTCTTCCTGATCCCATGAAGCTGCTGTATTCAAGGATGTCTTTGTGTGGATTTGTTGTCATTTAATATCAGAAATAGGTCAGATTTCTTTCGAAGCGGAGACAGATACTCTTTAAACATTTATATTCCATTGTACAAGAGAACCTGAGCTTCTCCACATGAGAGCTGAGTGCAGGAAGAACACAGAAGTTTTTAGAAAGTAGAGCAAGATGAATGCAATTATCACAAGTAGTAAAATTGAGCTCTGAAGAATACAAAATCATAAAAAAAAAATGCAGTGGGGTATGGTGCCTCAACCCACAAGCAAGTAACAACAGAGCTAACTTTGAGAACACAGTTACACAAATTTTCAGCTGGTTCTACTGAAAAGCAAAATGTAACAGCTCAGTGAACAAAGTGTGCCATTGTCACTTTGTCAAATGACAAAAATGTGGCATTTCCAGTGCCTGAGCATCCCCACAGAACAATTCCCAAGCCATATTATGCAGACTGTCCAGCTTTGCAAACTGCTCTCAGCACACATATGGCCCAGAGCATTCAAATGGGATTCAGGAGACCAGGAAAACTTGTTAAAGACTGAAGAGCAGAGGATTACTATGTCATAGCACAGGAATCTCTGTTTAAACATGGAATCATAAAGGCAGGTGGGCAGGAAGTCATAAATAAGACAAAAATTTTCACAAACATGCCACTACAAAGGGCGTTCAACACTGCTGAAAAAATCATGGTAGGAAGGCAAATCACATCGTGTTATGGGAGCTTGGAGAGACTCAATCCCTGAAATATGTATGGCACATGACAGGTATTTTATATGTTGCATTAATAACATCCAAAACCTGTTCCAGATACTACATCTGTCAGTTGAAACTTTTTGTGCCTGTTAAGGTCAAAAAAAACCAAGGTCAGAAATATTTCACAGTTAAGCCAGTACACCATTTATGTAGCAGGTCAGCACAAGTGCCAAGGACTAAGAATGTCAAAGATCCCACTTTTAAGTACAAAGAAAAGGTGTAGCATAAAGAAAAACAAGACAGATAAGTGCACTAACACTCTAGATTAAGATCAAGATCAAGATCTAGCTTAAGATCAGGAGCCCTGATGTTGGTGATCCAAAGCAATGGGTAGCAGCAAGTCCAGCATCCAAAGTCATCTAATGAATATGTTTATCTACTTTCATATCAAAGTGCAAAACCAGCACCTTTTACACATCTTACTGTAAGAATCTTCATTAAATGTTGTGCCTTCAGTAGAGGCTTTTATAGTAGAGAATTTCTCTCAGTCACAGCAGGGTTTCACGTCCTTTGAAATGCAATCAAACAAACCATTTAAACCTAACCTTCCTCACGGAGCTTAATTATTTAATTTCCTACTGTAATGTTCCTCATCTGACGTGTTTGAATTTTATTTTATATATATATAGATTTACACAGAATTTTAGTTCTGCGTCATTTTCAAACAGTGGTTTTCACATATCCATTAAGAAAATCTTTGCACCTCAATTAGCAAGGTCTTGGAAAAAGAAAAGTTCTGAAATATTCCTAGTAAGGTACATATTTCTCAGATTAAGGTGATGGTGGGTTATCATTTTACAGAAAACTGAAAACCTTTTCCTTCTAGTGGTTCAAAATTCCACTTCTCAGTTCTGCCAGGTCAAAAGATATCGGTCCTTAAAGCTGTCACTGGTTCCAGACAGAATAATGATGGGCCTCTAGCCAGAGCACGATCTTGAGAACTTCCAAAAAGTTATTCCTCAAGCAAAACTTAAATTTTGCAAGCGGCCGTTTCTGAGCATTTTAAGAACGATTTTAGAATCAAACCCTGAGAACCTCGACGTCTTGAAAAGACTTGAAGCATAGGAGTAGCTGCAAGAAAACAGCTATGAGACCGCCAGCTTTCCTGGAAAAGAAATGTCACTACAAGAGAACAGCTTTAGGACCTCCAGCTTTCCAGGAAAAGCAAAGTTACTACAAGATCCACTGTACTTCCCAGCCACGCTCCTCCCCTTCCAAAAAAGAAGCAACTCCAAAATCCAGACACCCATGCACGGTCCCTTCACTCGACTGTCCCACCGCGGAACGTGGGGTTTTTTTGTCTCATATGGAAAAAAACCCACTTTCTAAGGGGCGAACACCTCCCCCTCCCGGCTGCCGAACCCCCACATGGCTGCGCTCCCCTCACCCTGGGCGCTCACCGGTGGCTCCGGCGGAGGCGTCCCCGGCGGCGGGACGTGGCGGTATCGCCCAGGCTGCGGGGGTAGGAG